GATAAAATCATTACTAAATATATATATTTATAATTTCATTTAAAATATCCAAATCACACATGTATATATATAAAAAAAAATAAAAAAACAACCCGTGCAAAAATAAATGAACGTTTTAAAAAGTCAAATAAATTTTGAAAAATTGTATTTAAGTATACTTTAATTGTATAGTTAACGAATAAAGTAATGGTGTTTATAAGAAAATAATATAGGTTGTTGTGGTGGCACAGTTTTGTTTCCAACATAAGATTATGGTAACGAACGTGGTTAAGTGAGTGGGTGGGTGGTGGTAGGAGATAATTGGGGGTAACAAAATGATGGCAAAAAAAAGCTGGCAAAGAAGCAATGAAATAATTACCCCACCTTACCTCGAATTATTACGATTATATATACACACCCAAGCTTATGGGGAGAATTTCTACGCAGCTTCGTAGGAGGAGCGATTATACAGCAACGCCGATGACATCGATTTGCCGAGGAAGAAGAAGAAGAAGAAGTAGAAGAAGAAGTAGAAGAAGAAGAAGTGGAAGAAAATCGATAAGAGAAAAATTTAAAAAAAAAAAAAAGAAAAAAAAATGAACAGGAATGTGGTACACGAATGATGGTGTAAAGTTCGTGTCATGGAATTTGCTCGGTTGAAATAGACGATGATCATCACACACGCACACACGTCTTACGATTTTTATTATAGTTCGCTTTTTTTTTTTTTATAAGTATTCTTGTTTTTGTTATTTGTGTGTTGCAAATCAGTGGTTTTCTTACTATATATATATATATATATATATTTTGTTTGTGTTAAGGATATTTTATATTTTATTCGAAAAGAACGATGATAATTATTAATAATCGATTATTTTTTATTTAATATTTCAATCGATTATATTATAAATAATTTGAACGTTTGAAAAGAAAAACAAAATAAATATAATTCAGATTTAATTTAATTTAATTTAATTTCATATAACGCGTTCGAGGAGTCTTCTGGTAAAAGTTTGAAAACCACTGCTTTAAATAATAATAATAATCAAGAATAAAAAAGAAAAACAAAAAATAAGTGTCTAGAGTGTTATATAGGGTTATGGGACCTTTGATTCCGATGTCACGAGGACGTAACACTTTGACCGTACTTTGTGCACGTATTGAACTTGCAACTGACGATGATGAATGCATACTACTCTTATGTATCTGTGTGTAATATATATGTCTCTGTGTACGTATATACGAAATAAATAAATAAATAAAGAAAGAAAGAGATAGCAATAGAATATTTGATTTCGTATGTGTGTCATTAGGGGAATAAAAACGGAACGATATGTAATCTTCCTTAATGTAATACGAATTACACGATTTAAAAGATCTAACAAAGAAAAAGAAAAATAAAATTTCAATTTAAATATCATTCTCCAAGACGACACTTCACTTAATTGGTTGGCTATTGAAGGAATCTATTTTTAAAAATAAAAATACAAACCATGACTCATTTGTAATAATGAATTATTTCTAATGAATATTTTTAAACATAATCTATCGTATGTTCGAGATAAAATAGATTAAAATATGTATTTATGGTGTGAGAAAGATAATATTATTTATTTTTGACGAATCAGAGATGATTAATTTTCTTTTTTTTAAATACATATATGGTTTGTTATTAAACCAATCGAGTTTAAGTGTCATCTTTTCGAGAAAATTAGAAAATAAAAATGAAATTTTGTTGAAGAGGATTATTAGTGCATTTAATTGTAAGAGGGAACGAAATTTTGGTTATATGATCGTAGTGATTGTGAAAGACGATTTTTGGATATCTCTATTTCATATTTTTTTTTTTTAATTTTTTTCCAAGTTCATTTTATCATGTTTTTTTTTTTTTGTAGTTGTTTGTTTGTTTGTTTTATTTTCTTTGGTTCTTTTTCGTCATTGCCCAAATATGACTTATATATATATATATTTTCTTCAATTCATACTTCTCCCACACACACAAATAATTGCTACAATTTTTAATGCACATTACCCACTACTTATTATTGCGTATCAAGAATTATTGTTGTTGTTTTTGTTGTCGTCTCGATAGATCGTGTGTTTGTTTAAAAACGATTACAAGATTAATCTAAGGTAATAGTTTTTAAATGTTAAACATCGTATAACAATTAACCGTTCTTCGAAGATTGTTTTTTCTTTTTTTTTTTTTTCTGATTTATGTAAGATTTATTATGCGTTTTGTTTTTCTGTAAATTTCATCTCGCGCGAGGATTATTATTATTATATTATTATATCTCTTCCTCGCTTTTTTTCTTCTTCTAATTTGTATAAATATATTTTTATCATTCGAGAAAAAAAAATTAAATAAACGAGGGGGGCGGGCGGGCGGGCGGGGGGGCTGGTCGGGGTTTGGGGGTGAGAAAAATCGAATGAAAATTAAAATGAATAGGCCTGGTTTTGGTTTTGTTCGTTTGATTCGTTCGCGTTTCAATTTTTACTTGGCACGAGTTTTTTTTTTTTTGTTTTTTGATTAATAAGTTAAACGAAATAATTATATTATATCATTGTTTTTTTTTCTAATCGTAAACAAATATTATTACCGCATTAGTTTGTATGTTTTATTCTCAGCCCATGGATAAAAGTAGAATTTTATATGTGAAAAAAAAGTTTCTTTTAATATAATTATTGATTTGTGAATTATTGTAATTATTATAGCACGTCCCATACGAAACAATGAAATAAATTGTACATAATATCTGTTAATTTAATTTTTTCAACTTGTGCATATACTAGATTCTAGATTAATAATAATAATTATTATTATATATGATAATAATTAATAAAAAGTAATATTTTATGTGTAGAAACTTCTTCGTTTCGTTGTTATATGAATATTATTATTATTATAAATATATTTATATATATATCGTAGGGAAATATATAATTACGAATTTATATCAAATATATGACGATAATAATAATAGTAATAATTATTATTATTACGTGATATATGTGTGTTAAATATACATGCATACAGAGCTTTGAACGATCATTAATTCTAGTATGAAATAATTTTGTATTCATTTATTGATATAAAAAATCAATAAGTAAGTAACCAAAATCTTTCATATAAAATATGTCACAGCAATAGAAAAATCCATCATCATCATCATCATCATCATCATCATCATATCATCATCATCATTCCTCCACGTGTGATATTTTGATATGAAACATTAAAGTACTTTTTTACTTTCTATAAAATGAAATATAAGATTATTTCATCTAGCAATTAGTTTATCGATTTAATAATTCTGTATAATAAGTTTTCAATTATAAATAAAATACACATACGTGTAATAATAATTATGTACATTATAGATTTTCGTTTCGTATGGTTTTACTTAGAGAACTACTTTTCTTTTTATATAGCAAAATACAGAAAGAGATAGATAAAGAAAGAAAGAAAAAGAAAAAGAAAAAGAAACAAAAGAAAAAAGAAAAAGAAAGCCTATGTGTTTCTAATCGAAAATAGCCGAAATAAATAATGAAAATATATATATGTATAGGAGAGTATAGTCATTGGCTGGACAATAATAATAATAATAATAATAATAATAATCATAATAATAATTATGTTTAAGATTTTTTGAAAGCGTTGTTACGTCGTTGTTCGATCCTAACCTCGGCCATGGTTGAAGAAGAATTCAGCTTCTCGTTAACGCGATCCACCGTGATGAATGGTGTTACCGATGGTGTCCCGGGTATTTTTCCATGGGGTACCACCACCTTTTCGCAAATTTCCACAACCGTTCGTCGTCTTTCGTCGAAAGGGATTATTATTGTATCCTCGTCGATTGTTGTCGTTGATTGGTGGTTGTGGTGATGGTGGTGGTGATGGTTATTATCCGTGTTGGATGTAGGTGAGGATGAAGATGAAGAAGTAGAAGAAGTAGAAGTAGAAGTAGAAGAAGAAATGGTTGTCGTAGGGGAAGATGATGACGGTGATGATATTTTAGAATTAACTGGAAGTGGGATTTCCGAAGCTTTAGGATTTTGATTGGACGACGTTCGAGTTTTTGACGTTGACGATGACGAAGACGATGACGATGACGATGATGATGGTGATGATGATTGGAGTTTGGGAGTAGTTGGTGACGTTGTTGGTTGACTAGCAGATGATGATATCAAGCTAGTTGTTGATGATTTAGTAGGCATTGTTTTACGAGGAAGTGGTGTTGGGATTTTCGAGGCTGTTCGTGTAATCTTTGAATTGTCTTGAATTGGAGTACAAGTGTTGGTGTTGATGTTGGTGTTAATTAATGATGACGATGATGATTCCAAAGTAAGATTCGAAGGTGTTGATGTCAAAAGATTTTCATCGATGGAAATGGGACAAGTTGTATTTAGATCTTCCGTATCTTTGGAAATGGGTAACGACGTTTCGTTGTTGTTATTATTATTATTATTGTTTATGATAGGATCTATAATAGGATGATCCTTTAAAAGGTTTAACTTCGGTTTGGGTAATGTTTCGGGTGGTGTTCTTCGTGGGGGTACTTTTGGACTTTGATAAACGATCGGACGATTATTCGCCGTGGGTAGTAGTAGTGTTGTATTAGAGTTAGTATTAACTTCTACTTGCATATGCGGGCATGATTTGTTAGTCGACCGTTCCCCAGAAGAAGTATCAGCAGTATCCTAAGAAATTAAAAATGTATACACCAGATTTTTTACCAATAAACCATATACCCAATCAATAACGAACGGATTAACAAACAAAAAGAAAAAAAATGAAAAATAAAACTTAAGTATAAATTTGTATATATACGGTTATATTAATTTAAACCATTGTTTTGTTAAATTAAAAAAAGAACCATCGTCAATGAGGCAGCCTAATAATATTTGCATGATGTTCAAATTTAAACGTTAAATAAATCCACGTAAGAATAAAATAAAATAAGCCTCGAGGGGGTAGTAAATGCAATAAAAAAAAGAGTGGGAGTGTGAGGTGTTCAGAATAGGTAAAAAAAAAGCATATATATATATATATATATATAAATAAATAAATAATAATATGATTTGATCCTACCTTAGTTGCTATTGCTGTTTCTTGCTGATTGGTGACAGTCGTCGTAGACTCGTTGGCAACGATGCTCGATTTCGTCTTAACAATAACATTATCTTGAATTGATGACGAAATTGAACAAGAATTAGCCTCGATCGTTCGAAGATCCTCTGGTTTTTCTTCGATAATAGTAGTTGCGTGTACGATTTCTTCGTCAACCGGTTCATCGGCTTGGCTTACTGAACAACTAACATCGGCAGTGTGAATGCCGGAATCCTCACGATCGGTGTCATTTAAAAGTTCGGCAGAAGATGAGGAAGCAGCTGGGTGATGATGATAACGTCTGCTACCATAATCAAATTCTTCGAGACTTTGTACACGTTCAAAAGTATCGGGACCACTTGAAGCATCAGCATCGAGAGAATCGAGACTTCTGTGAAAGGGTGCCCCCCTTGGTGCACGATATTCCGAATCAGGTGAAGAACTCCTCTCGCTTGGCGTTGAAGTATCAATCCTATTTTCTTGATCTCTGAAGCAAAGGGATGTTGAATGTTGTTTAACTATAGTTCCTCCCCTTTTATCCGAGGATTCCTTGCTTCTTATTACATCGAATGCATTCAAACGATCCTTTATAGTCCTGCCGGTGAATAATTCACCATTAACGTGTCTAGAATCGTGATGTTGTGTTGTTGTTGTTGTTGGTGTTGGTGGTGGGGCTGAGGATTCGTCGCTGCTGCTATATTTTTCTAAAGTTGATAATCTTTCACGTATTGGTCTTACGTTTTCTAATTCATCTGTATTGACAATTGTTTTGTGATTATTTGATGAATTAGGTGTAATCTTAGTGTTGTCTCGTTCTAGCGTTTGTTTCTCTAAATGGGATAACCTTTCTCTGATAGAACTCATGTCACCTGACAATCTGTTGTTCAGTATCTTGTTGTTAGATACTTTATCGTTATTGTCCGTTTCGATTTTTTGCTTTTCCAGGTTTGACAGTCTCTCCTTGATCGACTTCGTACTGGTGAAGTCACCCGAGAGCCTGTTTATATTATTATTATTATTATTATTATTACTATTATTATTATTATTATTATTAATTGATTTTTGGTCCGAACACTTTTGCGTTCCCTTCTCAAAGATTTCTCGTCTTTTTAGGATGTCAACTTTGACAACTGGTGTTACTGTTGTAGTTGTAGTTGTTGTTGTTGTTGTTGTACCCAACGTTCCCGTAACTTTGTTATCCTCGTTCAAGCTGCCAATCTTCGATAAATTAGACGAAGACGATTTAACGTTATCCAATTTAACAACATCCAAACCTACCAATGATCTCCTTGGTATGTTTTGTGATACTCTAGAAACGTAACCACGTATTGCACCCTCGTAGGTGTATTCTTCCGGTTCTGGCGAACTAGCTGTCGCTGTAGTTGCCGAATCATATTCCTGATTATGATTATGACCATGAAAACTATTCCCAAATGGTTTCTTCGTTGTATTGGTTGCTGTCGTTGTCGTCGTCATCATCGTCGTGGTCGTTGTCGTTGTAGTCATTTCCGTAGATGATCTGCTAGCGTTATTGTTCATATTGTCACCGGTATCACCGGCCACGTTGTCAACATCCGAATGATTCTTTTCAATTTCACTGTCTCTGTCGCTCTGGAACAAAAAAAGAATAAAATACCATAGACGTTATTTTTATTAAAGCGCGTGATATTGAAATTATACGAACAATTTTTTGTTCTTATTGAATTAATTATATAAAAACAACAAATAATTATTTGTGCACGATATTAGATATGTTGAAATTAAATATACTTTATTGTTAATATAATTGTATAGATAAATATTGTTGCATAGATTTAATATATAATGTTGATTAATAAAAAAATTGATTATTATAATATATACTAGGTGTCCCATATAAGACTAGTCACGATTACTCAAAGTAGAGTTATGAAATTCAAATGTAAAGTGAAGACAATGTCGATAAAAAGAAATTGCAAAGATGCACAATTTACAGCATTGCATTGTTTAACATTTTATGAACCTTTGCAGATCGATTTATAACTTAATAAGGTATTCTACGCGTAAACAAAAGAGTGCACTTTAATTTAATATAAGTTTCATGAATATCTATAAACTTTTAGTATAAAAAATATTTACCAAAACTTTTCAAAGAAATTGCAAAGATGCACAATTTACAGCATTGCATTCTCTGACATTTTATGAACCTTTCCGAATTGATTTATAACTCGAGAAGGTATTCTACACGTAGACAAAAGAGTGCACTTTAATTTAATATAAGTTTCATGAATATCTATAAACTTTTAGTATAAAAAATATTTACCAAAACTTTTCAAAGAAATTACAAAGATGCACAATTTACAACAGTGACATTTCTTTACTTTACATTTGAATTTCATAACTTTATTTTGAAAAATCGTGATTAGAGTTATTATGTGGTACATCCTGTATATCGATAAATTATTAATAAAATATATATTATTTAATTGATTAATATATTTATTGAAGTAATAAATAAAAATACTTACGAGAACACTGTGAGCATCGTCGTGAGTGTCACCGCTAACTGAACTTTTGCCACTACTAGTACCGATTCCAAGGTCGCTCAAATCGTTCGCATCCTCCTCATGATACATGGCCAGACTAATACTCAATTTCCGACCTCTGTTACCTCGCTCTTCCATCATCTCCGAGAAAGTTTTACTTCGACGCCGTTGCCTATCGTGTTCCTCGAGTTCTAACTTTTTAACCTCCACCACTCGTTCTATTATATGTTCTTGACGCTTCCTCCTACTGCTCTTCCAATTATCTAAATTCTATATAATATTACATTATCATTTTATTATTTTTTTATATAATATTATTTTGTGTTTATATAAAAGTATAATATCACATTAAAATACTATTTCTAAATGTTCAACGAATATAGAAATACATTTATCAAATKATTATTTAATTTTATGTTTAAATTATTTCTTATTATTAGAACAATTAATTCTTAAAGACAATTTTTCATATAATTTATTTGTTAATAAGAATTTATTTTGGAATTTTTTTTTTTTTAAATAAATGTTATATAATTATTTTATTTGATTGTTTTTCTTTTTGATATATTTATATATATATTCTTACAGATTGCCAATCTTCCGGATCATCTCGTACTTCCTGTTTAATCTTCTTAACTTCTTGAACTTTTTGAAGTTGTTCTTGTGCCGTACGATACAAAGAACATGGTCCAACTTTGACAAATTGAAGAGGATTCGTTGCTTGTTTAGGTGGTATTTTTAACGTTGTTTTCAATTTTGGCGGTTCGTGTGAGATCTGTAAAATCATATACAATGACATATACAAAGATATATACAATGTTGCAAGATAATAATACGTAAAAATAAGTTCGATAGGTTAAATCGTTCTAAAATTGTATTTTGTCTAATACGAAACTGTTTAACGACCGTAATACGCGTAACAATGCAGGTACCGTTTGTTTTTGCTCGTCGGTATAAAAGGTATGTCAGGTAATATAAATTGGTTAATCGAAAGAAACTATTGCTTCGCTTTCACATCCGTTTCCTGTCTTTACTTTGTTTAAATCAATGTACACACTAAAATTCTTTCGAAATGTTCTTTTTGTTTGCCTTGTCAAACAAGGGGGGGGGGTGAAGAGTGGGGTTCTACTTTATGATTCTAAGTAATATCTTTCAACTTCATTAACAAATTTATTTTACACGCCTCCATTTCTTTTTTTTTTTTTTAAATAAATTATTCAATTTTTCGTAGCCAACGTATCTCATACAAAAGAAAAATCAATATCATACAAGGAGAATTATTTAAAAAAAAAACAATAATGCATATAAAAAAAAAAGGAATGATAAGTGAATAATTAAAATACACATTATTCATTTTTGTATGGGATAATTGTTAAAACAAATAATTATTACTAGAATTGTGTTTTTTAAAAATGTGTTTCCCCCTTCGAAATTTGATTATTAAAATATTAATGAAAGAAACAGTTGTATAAAACAAAGACAGAAACCATACATAAAAAAAAAAAAGAAAAAGAGAGAGAGAGAGAGAGAGAGAGGTCATTCGAAACAGGATACGATTTAAAACGTGCCGAGTATTTATGCATTGTACAGCAGCAGCAGCAGCAACTAGTTGCATAAGCCTTTCCGTTAATGCACCAAACGCGTCATATACTTTTTTTTTTTTTTTAAAACGAAAAACTCGTAACACACACCACGAAATAAAAGTTAGTAACAGATGTAAAGAAACTTTTACATGCACTTTGATCGTTCACTTGCACTTTCAAGTTTCTCTCTCTCTCTCTCTCTCTCTCTCTCTTTCTATTTTCTTTTTTTTTTTTCTTGAGATACGTGCGTTTAACAAAAATAAAATATTAAATATTATAAAATAATAAAAGATAGAGAAAAATATAAATTGTTTATAACTAACGTTTAACGATGATAGTCATAATCTATAACCAAAAAAAAAAGAAACGGAAGCGGAACCACGTCAAGTAGGTGTGTTTTTCGTTTATTCTAGCGTGAAACATAGTAATCGATAGTTTTTATTTTATTACTTTTCTTTATTTTTTTTTTTAATGTTATATCGATTATATTTTATATAAGAGAAAGGTTTTTATCCCCACTACGCAACCCCCTTTTCGATTTCTTCTTTAAAAGTCGTATTATTAAATAATAATAATCGTAATGATCTAACAAAACTCGTGTAACAACGCGTTTTCACTCACCTGTTTATTAAATTCTAATCTTAGATTGTGCCGATTTGATTTTAACGTAGATTTTATAATAACAAGTATTATTATACACCATCGCAAAATATTGGCTAACATCCAAAGAACTTTCTCTAACTTAAATGATTTATTTACGCGCAATCCGTTAGGGTTATTTAGATAAATATTTATTTTTTTTTAATTAATATTTAATATATGTTACACGTTTTGAACATAATATATAACGTTAATTATAGTCTAATATTTAAATCATAATTGTCGAAGAAATTTTCCTTATTTATTTTAAAACTAATGTTAATAAATCAATTGATGATTCGATTAGGTAATGGGAAATTGTTATTAATGTAATGAAATTTATTAAAAGCCACGTGTGTGTGTGTGTTGCTAGTATATATATTCTATAATATTATTATTATATAATATAATTTAATGTAGAATTAATTGTGATATGGATTAGGTGATGCGAAATTAGTGAATTTAATGTGATCATTAATGAAACTTGTTAAAAATCATGTGTTGGCAAA